TATACTTATCATATGTATAACCTTATAATATAATTTTATACTGTTTCAGATACAAAACATAAAGAAGATGACAAACAAAAAAATAAAAAACAAAAGGAAGATAAAAAAGAAAATGAAGATATTATGATTAGAAGTAAGTACAACATAATTCGATATCATACATTTTCAGAAATGATGTTAATTAGCACTTCTACTTGTTTAGCTTATTATTCAACATTCTGCTTTTTTGTTTAGAAAAACATTTTATTTCCTTTAATTCTTTAAATAAAAATACAATAGTACAGTATACAAAAACCATTTCTAAAAATATATGTATATTTCTTTAACGCTAATATTATCTAAAATGCAAATCAAACTTTTGGTGGAAGTCAAACTTTTTTGCTGTGTAATTGCTAACGATAGTTCTTAAAGAATTAATTATTTTACCTAATATGAGTCTCAATGTAACTTTATATATATATTTGTTATTAGATTATCTTCAACGTATTGAGAGATCGTTGGCAGATATAAAATTTGATATCGGTTGTCTAACGGAAAAATATCAACTTATATTAACAAAGTTGGATTCATATGTTTCTTGTCCGACACGAGAATATTGGACACGTAGTCCTTCACCAAATGACGAATTGAATAAATTGTCTTTTCCTCTAAAAAGTATAGGGGAATAGGGATGCGCGATTTCGATTCGATTAATCGTTTAATCGATTTAACATCCTATAATCGATAGCCTCCCCCCCCAATACTTGCGTTGACGATTAATCGAAATAATCGATTATTTTACTGCGATTGTTCGACAATCTTAAGCTGACTTTTCATGGGCAATAAGCAGCATTTTAGAAAATTACTAGAAACTTTTAGTAACTTGCTTATAAATGGACAAATATTTTTAATATCGACCATTAAAGATTATTGTTATTCATATGTTACTTATAAATCTTAGTAACTTATTAAAATTCCGTAATTGCTAAAATGTTGCTGCTACTGCCTATGAAAAGTCAGCTTTAAACGTAACAATCTCTAAAATATATTAGTAAATCGCAAGCAATCCAGCAGGAAAAATAGCATCGTCTGCAGCGGGCTTTATAAAACGCATCCACAAAACGTTCTGTATAAAAAGGGAATAACTTGATCTGATCCCTTGAACTATATGCTTCAAGCCGTCCCGCTAACCAACGAACGGGGGCGCTACGAGTGGCCAGTTCGTTGCTCGAAATGGCCGCTCGTGGCGATCATGCGCGGTGGTGAGAGTCTGGTAGCGAGGCGCAAAAACGAAAGTCGAAACGGGGCCGGGGGCGTTGACCTAGTTAGTGGTCGGGCCGGTCGGGCGATCTCTTGCATCCGCTGAGCTTCTTCAAGAGGTGCATCGGGGAAGTCGAATTAAGCGCTTGGAGATCCTGCGAGGCGGCTAATTAACCGGGCAACTGGCAAGTACAAGAAGGGCCTGCGAGGTTGGTTAGTGTGAGCCTCAGCTCATCAATCTGGGTCGAAGCCTTGCTCGGCGACGGATTAATCCGTAGTCATATTACGTCCCTCTACTACCAATACCACCTGACGAGGGACGTACTTATACTACTTATTCCGCAATCATATCCGGGAATCCATCCAGTGGATTGACGTTGAGCATCCTGAGGAATCGTCAGGATTTCCCAAAGGTACTTTCTCAGTACTCTTTTAGACTCGTCGCGGTCCACGACCGTGACGCACGCAGGCAACTGCACTCTTTTACCGTGCTTTCCAGCAAGCGACACAAGTCGACACAAATGTCGTTCTGTCTTTCTTCGCATTCAATGAATAATAAAGACAGAACGACACTTGTGTCGACTTGTGTCGCTTGCTGGAAAGCACGGTTAGACTCGTCGCGGTCCACGACCGTGACGCACGCAGGCAACTGCACTCGTTTAGACTCGTCTCGGTCCACGACCGTTACGCATGAAAGCTACGGCATTTATTGAGACTCGTCGCGGATCGCATCCGCGACGCAAGCACGAAAACTGCACACCCAAGGAACATCGCGGCTTACAACCGTGATGTTCGCTCTCCGTGTTCAGACTTTGCTCTCGTTATGGCTTCAAGTCATGACGCTCATGATCAGCAATATTAATCCTATTCGACTATTCACAGCTCCACCGCAAATTTCTCTTTTAAACCAATACCCGCATTCAACCATCGTGAGGATATTGAGCCCAAGGATCCATCAACGCTCTAATCAATATTCAAAACACGTCCTTGGAACACCGCAGTACTTTCTAGAAACGAACTTAAGGACTTGGAGAGATTTGCCATTCCGTTTAGTGTGGTTGTTGTGAAACCAAGGTCAGACTTACTATTTTATTTTCATTTTTCATTGGTCTCAATTCTAAGACATGTTAAAGTCCTCGTTGATGTTGCTCGGTTCGAATAAGTCCATTCCTTTTCGTTTTCTTTTGTCATTTAAATCTAATTTCTATTAATTGTAATTTTAGGAATATCCATCCCGTTGCTTCCCGTCAATCTCGCCATTACCTCTTTCAACGACATCATTACTTTTTAAACACGTTCCCTTGATTGAACTGAGTTAAACACGTTGAATCACGTTCAGTGTTGATCTGTGGTCTGTTGCTTTACAAGTTGTTGGGACGAGTTCCGCTTGGGACGTTAAGTGAACAGTGCGTCTTGTAACCTACAAGAGAAATTTTGGATCCTAGGGGTTTGGCATCATTCGATTGCATCATCCCGCACGAGGCATAGTTAGGTCTCTGCATTGAGCCATTAAAGGAAAGGAAGAAGAATATTGTCAAAGGCCGTGTTATCCAGACTATTAATTCATCGTGGTCGAACCGGTGAAGAAGTTGTTGGGACAATAGACGTAATAAATGTCTATGGTTGGGACTTGGGATCATGTCTCAGAGAAAGAGTGCTGCTTGGAATCACTTCACAAAAGTGTGTGCCACTAAAGTTCGATGTAAATATTGTGCAATGGAATTAAAATATTGTGGTAACACAACAAATCTTTGGACACATGTTTCTGGTCGTCATAACATAAAAAGATTAAATGACTGTGTCGATCTAACAACAGTAAGTATACATTTCAAATACAGCAATTTTTATGTAAAATCTAATTATATACGGTCATGATATTTGAAGTTAGATAAAGTAAAGAATTTATGTATTTGAATAGTAAGAAAGCGAGGTTAAATTGTTTATTTTGAAAATTTATGCAAAAGAACAATTATTTTCATTTGGTTATTTATATTTTATTTTTAAATAAATTTAAAGAATAGAATCAAAAATTATTTAAACACTAATATCCTGTCACAGCTCTTAGGCTTTCTATTCTTTAAATTTGTTATTTAACAATTCAGAGCTTTATTAATCTTATGCTATTTTATTTTTGTTTTGAATTACCATATTAATTAAGTTGAAAGACGACTTTATTATTTTTTTGTCCATTGAGACACTGACGAAGATCATTTATAAACCATACAGTTTTGTATACATGTATTTCAAATACATATATATTAATAATCACATACATATATACTGATCAAATGTTAAAAAATGATATCTATGTGTTAACCGGTTCTTACGTTTGAATAAACAACCATATTTACTGTACTTTTTAATTTTATCATTAACAATAGATTTTTGCTCTGACACTTTTTATCTTTATATGCAATTTTTTGTTCCAGGAAATAGATGAGAATTCTAATATGCCAGTAATTGAGGCAAAATCATCTAAAGAAAGTGATATTCCGTCCAAACAATCGAAGCTGTGTACTATTGAAGACTCATTCCAGAAGATTACAGCCTATAAAGGTATATTTTATTTTAGATCTACAGTTATTGTTAGTATAATAGATAAGTTTTTATGTTGAAAATGATCTAGTAATTTTAATACTTAATTATTCTTAATCCTAGGTGGTGGAATTCGCGCTGCTGAACTTAACAGTGCTCTTATGTTCATGATAGCTCATGATCATTTGCCGCTCTTGACACCAGACAGAACGGGCTTCAAATACTTTATAAAACGAGCATTACCCCTCTATAAACCGCCCTGTCGCAAAACAGTAACTAAAATGATGCGAGATAAATATGACGTACTTACTGTGAAGATTAGAAACATTATCAAAGAATTGGAATCTTACTGTCTCACAGCTGACATATGGACTAATATTCAAACAACGACAAGTTATTTGGGATTGACTTTACACTATTACAAAAATGGAAAGAACATGCAGTCAGTTACAATCGGAGTACAAGCATTGAATGAGAGTCATACTGCTGCCTATATAAGTACCATCATTTTCGAAATTTGTTGTCAGTGGGGCATCGAAATCGATAAAATATCAGTTATTGTGACTGACAATGGTGAAAATATGGTTAAAGCAGCAAAAGACACGTTTGGTAAAGCTAAGCACCTTCCTTGTTTTGCACATACCATAAATCTTCTGGCATATGATGTACTTGGCACTCATAAAGTTAACGGTACCATAGTTGATAATGTCGAAGGGATTTCAACACTTTTGAATAAAGTGAGAAAAATTATTACATTTTTTAAAAAAAGCGTGAATGCATCAGATTCTCTGAGGAAATTGCAATACCAGAGAGGCAAGAGTGAAGGTACAGCTTTACGATTAATTCAAGACGTCAGCACGAGATGGAACTCGACCTATCTATCCCTAATACGATTTCGTGAACTTAGCGATGAAATCGGCATCACACTTTTAAAACATTCTGCTTCTCCAAACATGCTTACTGGAGCAGAGTTAGACATTGTTAGAGTAATTTGCGAATTACTGGCACCACTGTATCAGGTGACAGAAGAATTATCAGCTGAAAAAGTACCAACGGCATCTAAAGTGATACCATTACTCAACCTCCTGCAAAAAGTATGTAATTTCTTTAAATTATATTTTATTTTATCACACATTTAATCTAACCTAATACTTTTGATTATTTCTATATTTTTCAGAGAATTTCTTCCGTTGAGGTTAGCGACGAAATATCAATGTTAAAAAGAATGAAAGACCGTTTACTATTACAATTTGGCACAAGGTTCGGCCAAGTAGAGAAAGTTCGACCATTAGCATTAGCTACTTTGTTAGATCCTAGATTTAAAAAACTCCATTTTAACAAGCCACTTGCAGTCGCAGAAGCAATTAATGTTTTATGTAATGAAATTAACGGAGTTCGCCGAAATGTGCGGAACACGAGTTCTTCAACTCAACTCCATAAAGGTGATCAACATACATCGAAGTATGAAGATGATCTGTGGACCATTCATGACTCACTTGCAACTAAGAGCGCTGTTGTTCAAGAAGAAGAGGTAGATGGAATTTCAATAGAGTTGCGTCAATTTTTAAACTTACCTGTAACAAATCGAACAAATAATCCCTATGAAACTTGGATTTCTTTACAATCTCAGTTTCCAAATTTGTATCAGCTAGCAATGAAACATCTTTCAATAGTAGCTACCTCGGTACCTGCAGAGAGATTGTTTTCAGAGGCAGGTCTTATTGCTACTGACATGCGGAACAGATTAACAGGATCTAACTTGTCAATGCTTATTTTTCTTTCATCAATAGACGAAACAATATGGGTGTAAGAATAATATTTTACACCTCATTTAAATATCATTTTTGATCACCGCTGCAGTATTTGCAATATTTGCAATTTTCTTTTGTTCCTCGAGTTATGTGCAATAATTTTGTTTTTATTTTATATGCGAATAGCCAATGTGGCAAGAAATGCGTCAACGTGACATGTCTATAGTGTTTAGTTTAGTTTACTTTTTGCTTTGTGGTTTAACATGTTTATTTTTTTATCCAAGACTTTTAGTACCAAAGACTTCAGTATATACTAGTATACTACAAAAATAATAATTAATTAACAATGTTGTTTAGCTATTAAGTTTTTCATTTGAGAAAAATATAATTTCTTATAATATATAATAGTTCATTATAGATATTCTTACTGTGGTTATAAAATAAAGTGTCTTAAGTTTAAAAAAATTTTAAATATTTAATTTATTTATAACTGAAAAAATATTTATATTAATCCTATTCCTACATTTATTCCATTTCCAATATATGATTACATGGCTTACATTTCGTTAAAGGCAAGAATATACTTTGAAGTGTAGAATTATAGATGTATCGACAAGATATTAAAATTAAAAACATTTAAGTCTTTATTAAAGACCTTTGAGCAATTTTTAACGATAAAGTTAAAACATGTTTATTGTAAAGTAACTGTATTTTTAAAATACTTTCATGCACCTTTTTTAGAAGATTACGTCCTGGCAATGGGTGTTTTCTAGCAAGAGACACAAATTGGCAGTGTTACACAGATAATTATTTTATCTTTAAATGTTTAATAGCAAATATGAAATGATGCACTATGTTACACAGTGTTGCCCGTATATGTTGCTGGAAAGTTCCCTTTAGCACCAAAACCCTTATAAATAAAAATAATAAATAATCGATCAATCGATAGCCTATATTCGATAATCGATTAATTAAAATCGGCCGTCGCTAAGTAATCGATTAAAGAACTAATCGATTACTATCCCTCCGATTCCCATCCC